GGGGGGGGGGGGGGGTCCGGTTCTGAAGTGTGCAGGTGGGTAACCTCAGCTCAGTCGTCCACCCCCACTCTGAGCCCGGCCCATTGTCCCAGTGTGTGGGCCTTTGTGTGGAGGGCCATTGTGAGGGGCCGGGGCTGGTCACTGTTGTGTCTGGGACTTCTCTGCTCAGACAAAGGGCCCGTCTACGAGCCTCCACCCTGCCCAAACAGCAGACAGATTGACTGACTGACTGACTGACTTGGGTGTCTGACTGACTGACTGCTTGACTAGTTGGCTTGCTGGCTGACTAACTGGCTGAATGGCTGACTGGGTGTCTGTGTGCCTGACTGATTAATCGGATGGAGGCAGAAGAGGAAGAAGTGTGTGTTTCAGCCAGTCTGCAAAACCTTATGCACAACAGCGTGATCTACTTTGAATAAGCTTTCAGTACTCAATGCAAATTATTTCTTACAATCATAAAACATGACTTACTTGTGAAATTCTTTTTAAATGCAATTTTTTTCTCCCATGTAATTATGACAATTACACTGCTTGTTTTTACAACTAGAACCCTTCAAGAATTTTTGAGAAAATAGAAACTAAGTTGAGACATATTGTGGTTGGTGTAAGTGAGAACATGTAGGTTGCACAAAGGATGCACAGGATATTATTCACAATGTATAGGTTACACTAAATATATATATGTCAGCATTTTTAGGAAAGTGTAATAATTCCAGCCATAAATGCTGATGCTGCTAGTGTGTGTGTGTGTGTGTGTGTGTGTGTGTATTAGGTATTATGCATGGCATGTTTCATGACTGCAAAGGCCAATCCACTGTCATAGGTGTAGCATTTTAAATAAACTATATTTTCTACACTATTCAGCGAGCACATGTACGGCAATGTGAGCGGCGTGAAAAACCTGTTATTACTCAAGTGCAACATGGGCATTTTCTTATTTCTCCAGGCAATGGGGGGTATAATCTCACTGCACTGATAATTACACACAGTGACTGCAAAATGCTGTGCAGTTTGTCAAAGTCTGACAAATTTCTTTATGAATTATATATGTTTAGATAAATTTTAGAAATGGGAACGTTAACACATTTGAATCTAATTTCTTGCATTTGACTTTCAAATAACCCCTTTGACAGAATATGTGTAATCATTCCATCTTATTTCTCTTGAAATGGCTCATCACTTTCTTTTAACTGTTTCACAATCAGGAGCATGTCTGCTTAATCTGAACTGTTTATTTGTGAGCACTACAGAAATGACCTGAGATAAGTCATTGATAAGGCTGGACTATAATGAAACACTTGCATAAGAAACACCTTTTTCTGTCACAGCAGGAATGTCCCTGAGAGCATTCCTGTACCTCTCCAACACTCCATCGCAGCCACCCAAACAAAACCACAGCGAACTCGAGGAAATTCCAGTAAGCCAGTCAATCAGATGTGCAAAGGCATCGACGGCCTGTTCCTCTATGCGACATCTCGCGTGTGCCAAGAATTCACACTTCCTTGCTATATCAACAGAAACAGGTTATCTTTTCCTGCGAACCGCCCCAGCACTTAATATAAAGCCACAAGTTCCTCCCCATGTTTCCTGCCCAGGCCACAACCCACGTCATCAAGCTATTCCCCTGGCACCTTAGGCTCTGAATGAGGGGAAAGAAGTGCCCACAAACAAACACCTCACATCCCCCTTTCTCTATCTCTCTCCCTCTGTTTCTGTTTCTCGAACAGTCTGTGAACAGGCCAAGTTGCATCTGAATTACTGATTTTTTTTTTTCCATTTTCTCTGAGCGTTAGTTTTAGCCTGCATGGAATGCCCTGAGTGGGTGGGGTTTGGATGTTTTTTTGGACAGCTCAATCGTATTCAGAGAGCCAGGAAAGCTGTATCAATACAGGAAAACTATTTCATTCAATAGCAAATGCACTGACGTTGCTTCGGTTCCTCAAACGTTGCGAGGAGTGTAATGTGCAGAGTGTGAGAGATGTGTGTGTTTGTGAGAGAGAGAGAGAGAGAGAGAGAGAGAGAGAGAGAGAGAGAGAGAGAGCCTGGGGATGAGTGACAGGCAGGGAGGAGGGGGGAGGAGAGGTTAGGGAGATGCTGCAGAGCATCGAATGACAGATGTGCAGATGT